AACAGCATTATTAGATATATTTTCTACCTGTTTAGAAGTATTGTTAGAATTTATTTCAGGGGAAATATCACTTTGTACCTGTTCTAGATTTAAAGAGTTAGTGCTACCATTTTCATAGTGTTCCTATTGGATCAAACTATATCAAACTTTAATTAAATTTGAGTTCAGTTTGATTTTCAAAACTAAAATTTGCTTAAATCTATATAAAGTTTGAATTTGATTATAAATTTTTTATTTATATTTGATTGATTTGAAGTTTGATTTGAAGTTTGCAAACTAGTTTGAATTTAATAAAAATAAAAATTTAATATCATATTAGGGTTCTAACAAACCCAAACTGAATTAAACTTTAGATAGGTTTGGGTTTAGTATCTAATTTTTGTTTCATGTTATTATGATAAAATAGAGATTAAATAAAAAAACAGCTTCCAGATTAGAGTGTCCAGAGTACTGGGGTGCATAATTATGCTTACACTAAAAATACTTTTTTACATTGTAATTTGGTTTAGAATCGATTTAAATCATGTGTCTCTTATGAGAACAAAAATTATTTTTAATGTGAGCAGAATTATGCGCCACAGCACCCTGGACACTCTACCCCAGATTTAAAATTTTTAAATTTATTATCATGTCTAATCTTCTAAAATTAATGCATACATATATTCTTGTAATAAATATCATCCATCACGAGTGTTCTGTACATTTTTACCAATCATTTTTCATGTGAAAATAAGGTACACTTATATTCTTAATTTATTTCGAATTATTAACAATTTAGTTTAATGCTATGGGAGTAAATTAATTATCCTCCAAAGTGTAAAATACCTATATTAAAAACTATATCATACTAATGAGATCATCTATACTATAGATCTAAAAAAAAGGTAGCTGTGCGACACTGTCGCACTAAAACCAGGAACGTGGTGATCTTTATAATTGTTAATGATGGAGATACTGTATCTCATCAATCATTCGAGTCGACGTAAAGTCAATAGATCGAAAATGATGCTAAGCATAGTGATGCGCATTGTGGAATTATCAATCAGAACAAGTCTGGTCCGGATAATGCCAAAGGAATCCGGTCATTCTCATGAATATCTGTGAATATCAATACAGTATCAACATGTTCATACTGACGGCCAGCGCTAAGCGTACAAATTCAACTGCTATATAACTGTAAATATCACACATATTCATACATACGAACAACTGCTTATCGGCGCAATATTATCGCTTTTTCTGGGAGCATATCTCGTTTCAGTTTAATAGCACATAAACCACAGATAATTGAACCTGCCATTTTCATTATTTTAACTACTGAATATCAATATTACATCACATGGGCGTCCTCAATCAAAACGTGCCTTCGTAAGATCCAATAATCGTTACACAAAATAGTGTCATAACTAATTGTAATATCGTCGTCACCTTAAAAGTGAAGACACCCATGTTACAATTAGACATGACACTAAATTGTGTAACAACTTGTTGAATCTCACGAAGGCACATTTTGATTGAGGACACCTTGCATGTTCATATTGACTACCAACCTGTGTTACGCAGGCGAAAAACCACCGGCCAGCACAAACTCAACAGTTTACGGTGAAGCATATCCATTTCAGTTGCAATAATGCATAATTCGCAACTAATATAATCTGCACCCACCAAATAAAATTCAACTCCGGTATATCAGACCGGATCATTCCATAAGAACATGCGTGAAATGCTTTTGAGCATACCAAAACTTGACTGCATTTAGATATTGATATTTTCTATCGCTATCAAAGAACAGTTATGGAACAAAGTGTAGATCATTATGTAATGATTACTACATCCAATCAGAATCAAGATTTTGTGGGTGAACGAATTAGACCAAAAAGAAATTACTACTACAAATTATTTGATCCGCCGTCATGATATTATAAAATAAAGAATAATATCCTTATTTTTCCACTGCATGGAATAAGACTGTGGATCTCCGGCTGCCCTGGTATTTACCTCTTATTCTGCCGTTATACTCATTCAATTTTAATTTGATTTCTTATTCACTGATTCAGTCAGTGATCATAATAGCGGTTGTATTTAAAATAAGTCATTTCTTTATATTTATATTAAATTAATCTGTAAGTATAGTCTAAAATAAGACAAAAAATTTTTTTGCTACTCCTTAAGTTATTCTATCTTATTAAGCCACTTAGTTGGGCTAATTTAACCGGAAAGAATCAAATAGGTTGTTGCATAGCAACACCATGCTTAGAGTATATAAACAAACATATACCCCAAGCATGGCTTTGTTATACAATCCAAATAATTTGATAAAGTATTTTAAACAATGTATGCACTTTTATTAGCTATTAATTTATTGTCCGTGCTAATTTGGTCGATAAACAACAAGTCGATTCAGTCAATATTATTCATTAATCGAATTATTTGCTATGTATCTATTATTGTTTTTTTTTCGTGTTGATTTATGATTCTTATAATTCGATTTTCCGAAAATTTATATCTAAAAAATTGATTATAAATTTTAATTTTATTTGAACTCAAAGTTGTATGGTGCCCTGCCCTACTTGTGCTATAAATTGTAACAGTGCTTATAATCTAAACCCAACAAAATCAAAAATTAGCTATATATTCGTTACAATAATTTTATGTTAACTTCCGATAGTCTTTTTTATAAAAGACCAGACTGGCCCGGTTCTAAGGCTGATTAACTTAGTCCCAAAAAGACAGGGCCGGTCTGGTCCTAGGACGGACTGGTGGTCTATCGGTTTGAGTTGGCCACTACTGCCAATATATCAAACCCGAACATGTTTGCAAACTTTCAGGCCAAACTCCAAAGTTATGTTTGAGCCCGATTCGAGTTTGCGGATGTGAGTTTGGGTTTGATTTGGGTTTGTAGAACATCAAAAATTTCAAGTTTGGTCCGGGTTTGACCGAACCCGAACCGAACCCGAATCAAACCTCGGAACCCTACATTCTCATCAGAGTGACCATTAATAATAGAATAGGTATTTGTAAAGCATCATTAGTAGTCCGATTTTGTTTTGTGATTTGTTTTAGTCTTGTATTTTCGATCTAAGATTAGCAATTTCTTCGATGATCTGTTTTAGTTTGGTATTTTCAGTTTCAAGTTTGGTAACTCGTTGTCTTAATAATTCAAGCTCTGATGACATGATTGATTAAAATTTTTATATAAGGCATAGATTTATTCAAAATAAAAAAATCATGTGCGCGTTCCATTTCGGAACGCGGATCACTTTGCCAAGAAAAAAAACTCTCGATCATACACAGTAATGTAATACAGTAAAATAAATTCACGAAATACACATGCAAAAGTAAACACGATTATTTATGCGAAATCGGCCACCAGGATCAGCTTTATTGTTATAAAAATAGATAGATACAAAGTGCAAAATAAAAAAATAAAATAAAAACAAATTACATTTCTGAAGTAAAAACTGTTGAACTATTTTCATCACTATTCATTAATTCCAGAATTAAATAGCAAAGACAGGTCAACAATCAAAATTCTCTGTAATTAAAAAAGTTTTAGATAATTATTTTTCAGAATATTGTGACGTAGAATATAAATAAATACATACTCGTAGCAACAATAAAGCTTCTATAAATTTAAATATAACTTTTCTATTATTTGTATATTGTATTGGAATAATCACCGATCTTAAGAGAAAAAGTGTCATCATCACGAATAAGGACGTATAGATCGAATTTCTGTCCTGCAACTTGAAATTCGAGAATGCCGAACTCATTTTTTCTTCTAATTTACATCCCCCTATTCGTCCAATATAAGCCATAATTAAGCTCTAGCCACAATTTTACTCTATCATCATCTTCTTTCGTATCGTTACAAACAATGCGTGAGCATTCACTAAACATTAGTTCATAGATTCTATCCATATGTTTCGCTATGAACATAATGTTTGGACGCTTTCCTCTCTCTCCCCTTCTGTCCTTACTAGCCAAACTTTGCCGCTCCGCTCATCAATAAATAAAAAAAAAAACTGTTAGAAAAAAAATAATAAGTTTACTTACGTGCTAATGTACGCAGATTTCCCAATTGGCAAATTTTTTAATGTGGCTCGAATAATGGGAACAATAATATCTGCCACATATGTTCCCTCGCTCTGTGTTTTAGCAAATTTAGGGGTAAAAGCTGGATTTTTCCAGATCTCTCCTCTATGATATAAAAAAATAGTATTGTTATTTAATTTTATAAATTAGTTAATATTCGATATTATACTTACAAAGTTTCAAGTATTCCAGCTGAAATATCTTTAAGAACCTTTTCACTCTCTCTCCAATTCTTATAAAAAAGTTTTTGTGAGGTATCTCTGTAGAACCATCGTCATAGTTTGTTAAAAAATTATTCAATTGAGGGGGGAGGGGATATCTCCATGAATAAAGATTCTATTGGCCAACGGGCATCACAAAATTCAGTCAAACAGAATAGTGTTACCGCCAGCATGACCTAATCATGCTATAACGCTAGCAGTTTTCGTATTTTATGTAGCATGAATAGTGCTGGCCAAACTAAGTATCTGTTATACTTTTAAAAATTAAATTATAGCTTCAAATGTAGTAACAGTTATTGATTGATACATACCGGTCAAACGATTGTATGTAACGTATATAGTTATTTTAACTCTTCTACGTAGAATTACTAACCTAAAATTTCGCTACGTATAACAGTACAAGATTAAAGTTGGATTTTGTTATTAGAAAGATTTGCCGCACACATTACGTACCTGACATAATTCTGGACACTCTAGGCTAGGGGTACTAATAAATGAACATGATCAAATTGTGAAACGCCTTACTGCAGCTCGTTATCTTCAGTCATGCTTCAGTACTAAAATAGTGTTTAATTTCATGCATTCGTCATTTGATAACCCGTACAATCAACTTTGTGCGCATTTCGTATCACTATATAATTGTAATATAAATAGAGGCCAGACCGTTTTTTTGATCAATAAACGATGATCGCCGTAAATAACAGTTGCCTGATGGCTTTATTTTTCACTCGAACTAAAAGGCATTCATATCAGAGTTTTCCGAAATTACTGAACACGCTTGCTTCTTGGCCTTTTGTATCAAAAGTTGTATGTTTCTCTGAAGGTTCAGCGAGATACATTGGTCATTCTAAAGTGTTGATTAATAATTATTCTACTGAACCTCGAACTTTCCATGAGTTTGCCGATGAATCTAATTTTAAATCTTTAGAATCTACCATTATTTCAGATAAATCCCTGACATCGAAAAGTAATTGATTTTAATGTTTATATGGTGCAAACAGTTTAAAGACATCCACTTTATTTTATTTTTACTTTATTTTATTGAAATTGTATTTATTCAATAATAAAATTAAAAAAAATACGTAGTTTAATAGTTTTATGAGATTTATCTACCCGTCAAGAAAATCTACTCGGATATTATTAAATTACCCGGTTATCCGGATAATTTATTATAGCCATATAAAAATATCTACCCGGGTACAATCTCTAGATCTATCGAACTACGTATTTTATGTATTTTATTTTATATTTTTATTGGGAAGATAAAAATTTTTCAGCTCTATTAGTAAGACCAATCAAATTGTATAATATAGATAATGATTTGCAAAATTTGTAGCACCTTTTGATGTGACTATGCTGTTCACACCATAATTCATCGCCCATTTTAAAATTTATTTCGCCCTTATTAATAATTTCTTTTCCATGCTCAGGTTGCTCAGGTGGACCTATCTCACGTTATGATGCTCTTGTAGCATCCAGAATGGTAAGAGAAGATTCTTTTCAGCGTAGTATAGTCTGTATCCTACAAGATTTATACGAACGGTTGATAAATTGTGTTCCACCTCCCATCATGGATGCAAGAGGCAGTATGGGTAACAATTCAGTTTTTAGCAAGGTGAATTTATTAAGTGCACTTTGGTCCTATACGATGTTGCAATTATTTAGCAATTATCCAATTTCAATCAATGCCAGATTTCAGGATTGTTTGGTGCCCCGTTTAAGAGTGTTCCAAAAGGATTATATTTATATGGTGATGTAGGAACTGGCAAGACTATGCTGATGGATCTTTTATTTGACACACTTCCAATTGAACGAAAGCGTCGAATTCATTTTCACGCTTTTATGCTTGATATTCATGAACGAGTTCATAAACTTAAGCGAGCGAATTCAGAAACTTATGATCCAATACCACCTATTGCTACTGATTTAGTAAATGATGCATTCGTCTTATGCTTTGATGAGTTCCAAGTTACGGATATAGCAGATGCAATGATTCTCCGACGTCTCGTTGATGAATTGTTTAGCCGTGGTGTTGTTATGGTCACCACCTCTAACCGTCATCCTGATGATTTATATAAAAATGGGATTCAACGTAAAAGTTTTATCCCTTGTATTGAACGATTGAAAGAAGGCTGTCAAATACATTCTCTCAATTCTGGAACGGATTACCGTAAACTGGCACGTATAACAAGTGGCTTATATTTTACACCATTAAATGAACAATCTACAACTGGGATAGATGATGTTTTTAACATGTTAACGCGTGGCCGATCGGTTTATGAAACCAAATTGGAATTTTGGGGGAGATCTCTCCTAGTACCTCAGGCTTGTGGTGATGTTGCAAAATTCACCTTTGAACAATTATGTGGTCGACCTTTAGGTGCCGCTGATTATCTTGAACTTACTAAACATTATACCACTATTATACTTACGGATATACCAAGAATGTCTTTAAAAATGAAAAATGAAGCTAGAAGATTTATTACACTTATTGATGCATTGTATGATACAAAGGTAAACCTTTTTAGTTTGATTTCTCATAATTTGATAATCTTCTCAAGAGTTTATTTAAAAGACTATATTAGTATGTTCGGCCGAAGTTCCTATCGAAGAATTATTTACAACAGAAGAAGATTTAGATCCCACATATCATGAACTTTTGGACGATTTAAACCTTGATGCAAAAGAACATAAGTCTAGTCCTATATTTACGGGCGTAGAAGAAATTTTTGCATTTGAGAGAGCAGTATCAAGGTTAACCGAAATGCAAGGACAAGAATGGATAAGCAAAATAATATTGAAAATAAGGTCTGGTAATCCAAACATATCAGTGCGTCCAACTCTAGAATATGTGAGTTGATCAAAGATTAAGTACGTATATAATTTTATAATAGTAAAATTTAAAGTACAGAATATGAAATAATTATAAAGTTTTGAGAATTAAAGTTAATTTTTTTTGATCGACCAATAAGTATTGATAAAATGAACTGTGATATCAACAACCAATCAAAATTCGTAATTTGCGGACGGACTTATATTATTGGTTAATTGTTGTAGATCTACGCATGATTATTCGTGATTATTAACCAATTAAATTACATAACTTTACAAAATTAATTCAGAATCATTTTCGATTAAGAAATAAATGCTGTTTATTAATAAAATTTTTGCAGTAAAGCTTGTTAAAGTTTGTATTCTCTTATGTCTTAATATTTCCTCAAACTTATTTGGTCTCCTTTGCACCTAGTCCATATACTGTATCTGAGGGATATGTATATAGGTGCATAGAGAAAACAATAAAATGGTCATTACTATATATGCAGAAACTTGGTCGCGTCAAAAGTATCATAACAGCGTATGTCGTAATAGTTGACATTTCCCTTAACTAAGGTTCAGATCATAACCCTAACATTAGATATGATGCAGAATATAATAGACAGTAATAAGAGAAATTCTATTTTTATCTGGTTAAGGTCACTAAACCATTACTATATTATTTTGTTACTGACTGTCATCGGGTGATTTTAACTCGGATCGAGTAGAAATCAGTTTGAAGGTGACAATTAGTGTTACAAATCAAAAATCGCAACTAATCGGAAAAGTTGACAACTAATCGATTAAAAAATTTTTGGCAACTTATATTAAAATCGAATAAAAATCGAAAAGTTGACAACTAATCGATTGCAAAATTTTTTGGCAATTTGTATCACTAGTGACAATAGTATGAATTTTATTCCAGAGGATCTTGTTGATACAGTTTTAAATGTTGAATTAGAAGTTATTAATTTATAAACATAAATATGGCATAATTTATTTGCATTAAAGAACATTGAAGAATTTAGTGCTTACGAAATATACGAACAGGAGCTTTCAATAGACATGAAAATTTGACGTGAACACAAATATTATTTTGTTATTCTATGATGTATTATACGTTTTAAATGAAAGGGGTTCTTTTTTTTTTAAATCAAGAATTTACATTATTTACAGTAGAACAATATATTATGTGTTTAGAGTCTATGTTATCTTGTATAATAAAGATGTACAAGTCACTCCATTATAGTAATCCGTTTCATATGTAAAATGAGTGCCGCAAAGAGAAAACCCGTTATTCTTATTGGATGAAGAATTACAAGTTTTACCTTTGCGACACTCAAATAATCTCTCATTCTTGAGAGAGTTTTAAATAGAATTAATTTCGCTTATCTAGAGATGGATCAGTCCGATAAAACAGTCCATTAATGTTTTTCAGTCCTGTCTCAGCTCCAAAAATGGTTCTTAGTTATTTAAACCTCTAACTATCTTATTTGCTAGTAGAAAGAATTAAATCATATAACATTGGTAATCAAAATTAATAGGCTTTTATATAACGTACTTCTTTTGACATTTTAATTAGCTATTTTAATAAAACAAGCAAAGGCGGTTTTAAGGGGTTTGGGTCAAATAGTTTAGCAGTTAAGCTCCCCACAGATTATATCAAAAGTTTAGAGGTGTAATATATTTTATAACTTAATAGGTAAATAACAGATACAAAAACCTAATATTCTACTATAGGTTATAGCATATTAAAATATATTAGATAAAATATAAACATGGGTATATTTAGTGGCAAAATATTAATATATAGTGTATAAGTAAATATCAAGATTGCTAATACTGTATATTATTAATTCTTAGTTACTATTTGTTACTATATTTTGTATCAGGGTTTGTCAAAAAGTCTATGGGCGTTTCCAAAGAATAGTATTATTTGAAAACATCATTAATATTTGTAAGGATAAGCAAGAAGTTAAATAATTTGACGATTTGACGATTAATTTCTACGGACAAGATAGCCTATTGATTGCGAAGAGAAATTTAAAATAGGAAAGTAGTTATTCAGAGAAAGGTGAAGATAGTGGCAAAGAAACTACCAACATACTCCGATTTAAATTTGACCCATATTTATTATTGGTAACAGAAAACGTTAGGTTATTTGGCAAGAGTGAGCTAATGCTACCTTCACCAGTGCAGTAACAATTGGCATACAAATGAGTGCTATTTCCACTATATCTTCTAACCTTGCTGAGAAATTAGATCCAATTAATTGCTTGTTAAAATCAATTCCCCTATTATCTAACTCCCGATCAAGTCTACAGACTACCTCTTTTAATTTACTAGGCCGATAAACATTTTTGCAAGCAGATAAATGATTTTCTAATACTCTACGTGATTCTGTCCGAAATTTGTGACGCTCAGTTATATTGCCTGACCGGACTTTTAAAGATGGATTATTTACGTGAATAATCCCATTACATGAGTTTGCCAATTCAGAAATTAATTTGTTTTTCTTTAAAGCCTTGATATCTTCATTACATCTTTTTTTATCAGCAGAAAGTTCGAAATTAGTGCGAACAATCGTTGTGTATTTAAAAATATTTTCTCCAAAAATTTCATCCTTTAATGAGTTATAAAACCTTATTGCTTTTTCATCGATGTCACTCCTGCTACCAACAACAAATAAAATTTGGTTTATTCCCTCTTTAACTGCATACGTAGTTTTTACTGCTTCCAACACTGCTTTATCTCCAGTTACAGTGCCAGTATCTCCGAAGCCTACTGTATCAATAATCCGATAATTCATTCCATTTATTTCTGTTTCTTCCACTTGCAATTGGGTAGTTACACTTTCTGAAATATCATCTTCTCTAAATACTTCTTCAAAATTACCATTTTTATTATTTTTATTGAATAAAACATTAGCCAAAGTAGACTTCCCACTACCAGTACGACCAATTATTAGTATGTCTTTTTTACTTACAACTGGCAATTCTTCTAATTCAGTTATTATTTCCCCTAATTCAGTTATTCTCTGTTTTAATTGATTATTTATCTTTTTTAACCTTTCTTTCTCTTTTACATCATCATTATTTATATATAAATCCTTTATCTTGTTATCATCTAAATATTGTTCAACATTGAGGTTGTAGCAACCAGTTATTTTTAAAGTTAATCTATTAACAGGACATTTTACTACTTCAATATTAGGACAATTTTTTAGTGTTAAACAAGTCAATTCTTCATTATTAGTGCAATCAATTTCTTCAAGTTCAGGAAAGCCCTCGAAATCTAAATGGCAAAATTCATTACTAGAACAATTAATTATTTTCAACTTAATTAAATTGTTAATCGTTAAGTCATTTAACTTATTATTAGTGCATCGTAATTCGACTAAATTTACAAAATCTTCTAAGTCTAATTTGCCTTTTATTTTATTTAACCCATAACGATTATGACACGAAATGTCTAAGTGTGTAATTTCTCTCCTTCTTTTACCAAAATTTTTAAACTCACCCCCTTTGTATTTACAAACCCCATTCTTAGGATAATGTTGATCCAACCATTTTGAAGCTTGAATTGAACCTAACTTCATCACTTTTTTTCTCGTTCGATAGTTATGGATTTGGCGAGACCTCTAATTAAACTTGTTTTAGTTTTTGCTTCACTTTTTTTTAAGGGCAGCAGTCGAATGTTTGGACTTCAGTTTCTGTTCTAACTACTGATAAATAATTATTCTTCCTTTAATTATTGTTCGGCTTTATCATCTCTTTTCAGTTAATTTTTGGGTTCTTAATTATTTTCCAAATCCTTAATTTCGGGTAATAAACCTGTTTTTTTTTTATTTCTCTTGGTTAGTAATTACTTAATTTAGGTGAGATTTCACTAATATTTTTATCGCTATTGGTTTTATTAAGAATTATTTAGCTTGACTGATTCTTTATTGAAATTGCATGCTTTTTGTTTATAAAAATCGGGATTTGGAATTTTAGATATTGAGGGGTGAATTAATGATTCGACGTCCGATTTCAGATAAAGATAGGTGGCGTATTTATTCAAAAGAAGCGAGTACAAGCATGATGGAAAGTCGTTTTGATTGGCTGATGTGGTACAACTGTAACGTCGATCGTTACACAATTATTTATATTAG